CCAAGCCTTTGAATGTGTTCGTCCTACGTTTTTCCAGTTACTAGGATATCATCAATGAACACAATAATCCCTGATATATGCCTGCTGATAGGTTTTCCATGATTTTCTGGATAATAGATTGCCCTGACATTATTCCGTATGGCAGTCGTGTATAACTAAACAACCCACGGTGCGTTGATATCGTTGATATTTTCCGAGTTTTTCCTGTTACTGCCAACTGTTGGTAAGCTTCATTTGAATCAATTCTTGAGAAATATTCTCTACCATCGGGGTTAGTAAACATTTCATCAATTTTTGGAATAGGATAAGTAGTATTTACTGAAACCGGATTCACAGTAACCGAAAAATAACCGCATATGCGAACATCTAATTTAGTTGATGCCATGACTGGGACAATCGGCGTTGTCCACTCAGATTTTTCTATCGAAACCAAAATGCCTGCATCAACTAATCTATTTATTTCAGCTTCGACCTTTGGTTCCAATGCGAAAGCCAGAAGCCGATGTTCAAAAAAATTGGTATTGCTCCACTCTTTAGATTTAAATGTAATTCAAAATATTTCAGTAACCCTAGTTCACTTATGAATATTTCCGAAAACTCTTGAAAAAGTCTCTTCAATTGTGATATCTAGAGAATTTATTGCCACTATGGCCAAGTTGAATTCTTGCAACTCGTCTCTCCCAAGTAGCGGTCCACCGTTTTTTATTACATATGTTTCTAAAACATCATTAACATCATTATAACTGAAGTTCAGAATTACTTTTCGCAATTGGCAAAATGGATGACCTACATGATCTGTCAATCGTGAATTACTACTTAATAATTGTTTATGTCTGAAAAGTCCTTATATAAAGTTCTTCCGAAATTGCTGAATATGCAAAACCTGTATCAATTTCAAATGGAATATTCTTATTTTCTATAAACATATCAAAATTTTTGTAGGATTCTCATCAATGTTGGAAAAGCTTTTACATACGTTCAGGTGGAAGAAGTTTACTGTATAATCTGCTACCTTAACATCAACATCTTCAATACCCACAAAATGGTTCATTTGGAAAGGCCTCCGAGTTTGCCGGCACACTGCCGCTATATGCCCCTTTGTACCACACTAATGACATAAACTTTCACGAAAAAAACACTGATCACTATTATGATATGATTTTCCACAAACATGACATGCTGAGCGCATCTGCTTCGTAAATCCTCCTTCCCTGGTGTTTCCTCGAACATTTTCAACTCTAAAAGTAGATGAACTAGGAGTTGGAGTTAGTTTATAACTCGGTCTAGTTTTGGTTCCATGTGGTTTGAAGAAATCAACTTTTTCCTTTTGGGACGATTCTCTTCCTTGTGCAATCTCCAACAGAGACGCTAAAGTGGAAGTGGACTTTTCCACCAATAGTCTATCGAAAATAGGTCCTGGGCACATTTCATTCACGAAAATATCCCGTAACACAACCTCGAGTTCAACTCCAAAGTCACAATTTTTGGTCAACCGTCTCAACCAACAACAGATGTATTTCACAGTCAAATACTGCTTGAATTGTGCTAAAAAAAAAGCTGAGTCCAAAACCTCGTAATCGAACTGATTTAGATGACCAATGCTTCGAGCAGTCATGGCAATAAAACACGTATTCAATATCAATGGTTGTTTATTCAATATTAACTGACAATAATGTTTTCATTACCCGATATTCGTAAAAACACATAAAAAGCTGTCTCTTCTTTTTATATATAAAAAGTCCGAGCAGATATAAAAAGTGGTCCTAGGAAATATTTGCCAATACATTACATGAGGCGAATCATCTGATTTGTAAATCAATTGAACTGAAGAGTAGGAGGACGATCTAGTCCTGAGAGCCATCTAGTGGCAGAAGTGCAAAGGTGTATAAGAAGATTGTTTGAACAACCATTCCTTGCAAGTATGTTGAATAGAGACCCCTATTACAGAAAGGCAAAAATGCCACAATTCTGCGGACTATCGCAACACCGGAATTCTCACAGTGATTCAATGTCCCCGACAGATTATGAGGAACCTGAAATCTCAAGAGGATTTCAGTGTTGCGATCGTCTGCCGAATTGTGGCAATTTGCCTTTCTGTAATAATATGGACGTAGGGGTATCTATTCGACGTACGTAAGGTATGGTTGTTTGAACAATCTACTTATACACATTTGCACTTCTGCCACTAGATTGTGAAACGTATTTTTATGAAAAGAGAAAGAAATTACCATTTCCCAATGCTAACGGCAGCTTTTCATCGGCGGCATATGGGTGTGAGTTGATTGCATTTCGTTTGGAATGATAAAATTCAATTACATAATATAATTACAAAAAAATATTCAATTTTTAATTCAAATAAGTACTGAATTGCAAATTTGGACGCCACTGATTTTTTCAAAATTTTTGTTCACTTTGGTAATAAAATCAGAAACCTGTAAAGAGTAGAGTAAATCAGTGAAACAAATGGAGAGTTTATCTAGGACTTATTTAATGAATTAATTTTCATGAAAATTGTACCCATTTAAACGAATCAACAATATTACATCAGTACATCACCCTATGTACAGTAGCTATTTACATATAAAGTATATGTTCAAGAAAAAAATCTCATAATCAGAATGTTACATGTTCAATTTAAAGTTATATTCAAGAAGCCCACTTGAAAACGGTTTTCATATTCAGTTGGTCGAAATATTATGTAGTTTTACCTCAAGGTTCCCAGGGAAAATTCATGAATTTTTGTGTGGGGGGTGAATTACGATAAAGATATTAGTGTTGAATATTCAGAAGGGCTTGAACATTTAGTATTCTGAGGAGAAAAAAATCAAAGTAAATGGTAATTCAATGATCAATTATGAAATTTGAAAAATTTGCCTGTTATCCAACGTTGGTCCAGGTCATGGTCGAAACTTGAAGAGCAGCTTGGCTGCATGTTACAGATGTGAAGTTCTAGGAGTCGTTTTATGGTGCAACTTCCACGAAGTTATCCAATGATGAAGCTCAGCATGGGATGGTGAGTCTCAGCATTCGATGATGAGGCTCAGCATTCGATGATGATGCTCAGCATTCGTTTGTGAGGCTCAGCACTAGTTGGCGAGGCTCATCACTAGTTGGTGAGGCTCAGCATCTGACGACGTATGTTGAAGCAGCAAAGAAGGGCCTTCATCACCGAAGGGGCCCTCAGGGATAGGTGAAGAAATACCCACGCAGCATGGCATGCAGGCAGCAAACAAAGAGTCCATGGTACCAGAAAACCCTATGATTTCGAAAGAAAAGTTAAGCTAATTATGAACCTCAGCCGAAGGTGGCAAGAAAAAAAAAACTCACCTCTGATACTCGGAGGGTTCATTCCCAAATCACAAGACAAAGATGATCCAAAACCAAATCGCACGGCAGGGTCTCGCATGGGTTCGTCTTCATTCCATCCAGTCATCTCAATTCGAACCATTGAATTGAGTTTCCAAAAAAAAAACTGATGGACAAAATCCACAGCGCCAGAGCTTCTCAGCACACGTGCACCATCCAGAGCCAAAAGAAAAGCAACAAAATGGTGTTCGTCGGAAATTTCTCTCCGGAAAACCCTCTCCACTCATCGAAAAATTGGTACTTCATAGCCACCTTTCACACTTCATTTGTCAAAATTCATGGAATAAATTATCACAAAGGTTGAATCCCAATGTAGGTCAAAAATACATATCTCCTATGGACTTCTGCTAACCCTGGTTTACAACGATAAAGAGATAAAAAAGAAGAAGCCAAGTTGTTATTGTCGACTGTTGAAAAAGAAGAGTGAATTGAAGTTCTCTTTTCCATATCCTAACCTCACAATATTGACAAGAAAAACATTGGATAATTTTGGCAGATTTTGAAACGAAAATCAAATAAAAATAAAACATTATTGAGACATTTATACCCATACCCATTTGGACAGACACTATTTACAAGGAGGTAAGCTCACATAGTTATCTAATCATGATTGAATGTCATAATAGGTATATGGTTATCCAATAGAATTCTGACACTGTTTTCCAATTCTTTTCAGAACATTTCCAGCACCAAGAAATCATTAGTGGATTTACCAATAAAACTTACAGAGAAACCAGATGGAATATTAACTGGTAAGTTCCTCTTTTATACAAATAAACTTAAAGATAAATGTGTTATTGTGATGTGAATGTTACTTGACCAATCTTTTCTGTGTTTCAGGTTTCTACTGTGCCAGTGCTAGATAATATACAATATACAGGGGGAAACAGTGAATGTGAGCTATTCGATGTTGCAGGGATTTTACCATATGAACTATGTAAAAGTGTTGAATAAATTGAAGAGATCAATATAATGTGTTCGAATAACAAAACGAGTAACGTTTTAATGGAGCTTACACTTTTTGAAAATAAAAACGTTACAATAGCTCTCAGGACTAAATCGTCCTCCTACCCTTTGAGGCATTTGATTTACTTCATATATAGTAGTACCCTTCGTGAATCGATTTTCAGCTGGCCTAGTGCAACTGATGAGGCTTGGCGAAGCTGAAACAGACTGTCTGGCACCAGCTGACAATTGAGTCACAAAATTTTTCTATAATCACTAGTCTTGAGATTCTAGGTTCCTCACCATCTGATTTGTTTTCACTATACGTATATTCAAATAATCATATTTCAATTTCATAGGAACAAGAATAGAAATTCCTAAAATTCTTGATAAACTATCATTCATTGTGTCTTCATCATTGAGATAATTTTTAGATTCCAGATTGGACTTTTTCGATGAGGATGTTATTTTATTGTGACACTGAAATATATTGAATTGAATTGAATTGAATTTTCATCATAAATATGAAAGGTCTGAATGTATGAGATTATCTAGTGAGCACCCATTTGTTATTGAAATAAAATTTAAGAAACCAGAGTTAACAATCTATTGGTATTTGTGTCGCTTCAACATACTTCAGAGGAACTACTAATCGCCATAACATAACCTATTTTCCAAAATTGTTTCAGACGCTCTTCAAAATCACATCTGTAGTGGAACGATTTGTGGTATTAGGATGCCTGGATAGAATATTACCAGAACAATACAATAAATTGTTCATTGAAGTAGACATAAGGACGATTATGTTCGAGGGCTTTGCGTTTGCTAAACTATCGAATGATCTGGGGCCAGCATGTAATATAGTGAGGAATCAAGTCCTGCTGAAGACTCTGCCAATGAAAAATGTTCAAAGGATACTTGATGAAGAAGGTGTTATTACAGAACTCAGGTTCGCGTTTTTACAATACGTAAGTCTTTTTTTTCTACAGAACCATGTAACCTTCAAAATCGGCACTATATAAAGAGGTTTTCTTGTCCTAGAGAGTCTCAGTTCCAACTTACCCATCATGGAATCAAAGTCACAATGCAGAGAAGAGATCTTACTCACAGTTTGATTCCAGAATTCACCGACAGCACCGAGTTATACACTGAATGTTCAGCTGATCATTTTGTATACTTTATGCAAAGTCAATTGGAAAAACACATCACCACAAGCCGTCGACCCCTTTGAGAGTTCAAGAGTGCAGCAGCGCGGCCCGACATTCGCTTGATGATCTGTTCAACTGACTTTGCATAAACTTTACCAGCTAATTGTAATTCACTCCAAATCAGTCTTGCAACGATTATCATATCTCAAGAGATTTCATCTCCTTGTTTTCATTTGTTATGTGCACAACCATTATTGATGCATTCATGATTCAATCCTTGGTTCATTCATTATATACATTCCGGTTGATCTAGTAGATACCACCTGAAATAAGAGTTAGAGTTATTTTATGAATGTGAACAGAACGAAGATAGACTCTCAACAACATTAGCATCGCCTTTGATATATTCCGGATATGTTTTCAAGCCTATTACAGTACATCGAATGTTAATTATTCTCAGAAAACCAAATTGACCTCTCAATGTTTTCATTCCCATCATTATTGACAGCAAGTTCATTTCAACTAATTTTAGGATTGACATTCTGATGCGGTGCATTGTGCCTATCTGTGTATTTTCGTAGACATATGAAGTTATCCAAAGACTGTCAAGAGTGCGGGCTACATCCATCATGTGCACTTAAACTACTTCCACCATTGGCTCAGCAGTAGGTCATCGCCTAATTTATTCTTTCTGGATCAAATAGAGAATGCTGTAAAAATGTTCCCCCCAGTCAGTTTGACATTAAATAAGTTGATTCACATGCTCCTATGAAATATAGCTCGATGGCAATTGAATAATGGCAAATTTTCCATTGGAGACAACCCTAGTGATTGATCGAATTCAGATTCCTTCAGAATCTTCTCGAATCACTGATAGATGCTGCCCTCTTCTCTTCCTGGAATATTATTCGTGTGCGAGCTCTTGCTCTCCTCAATGTTTTTGCTGCAAGAGTGTTTTCTTCCGGTGCAGTTATCAATCCTTTTAACTTCCCAAATTAGGAAGTTATCATTACTCTAAATTGAAGGATTATTCATCTGTAATTCAAGTTGAAGATTTTGATGTAGTGATGAGTGTGAGTTCTCCAACTATCGACTTGTTCGAATTTCAACCGGCAAAACCACCATCCCGCCATCGTCTGCTCAATCTGGAGTTGGCGTCTTCTACAACAGCCACTCTCCACCCACGTAGGTGTTCCTCGTTTCCATAACATTCAAGATTCTTGGTTTCTGACCTTTTTCCTGTTGATCTGGAGACCTATCATATTCTAATTAGAACTATATCTTCAGCCAGTCTCCTACTACTCAATTCTGGGTCTGAAGATCAGCTGAGTGGAAACTTTTTATCGAATATTGATCATTAGGTGCATATCATTTTAACTGTTCACTTTACCCAGACCTACCTGTATATCTGTGTTCAGGTTCGATTGTAGGCTCTTGCATTCACCAATCATTCACCTACATACACAGTCACCAGTCCATTCACTGTGCTGAAAGTGAATTCTGACCCCTCCAGGACTGATTATTGAATTATCGATTATCATTGAATGCGTTGCACTTGCATTTGTCGTGGATTTTGTTGAGAAAACGCAGTATGGACGAGAACGGAGTATTGATATCCGCAAAGGTGTGGATATGGCGGGTGGTAATTATTGTCGATAGATCGTTACTGTGGAGTCGAAACAATGTTGGTGCCAAGATTGTCCCCTAATACGACACAAGAATTGATGACTATGGTAGACGAAACTCCATCCACCACTGCATGAAGCGATCATCCTGGAAAAAATTTGATGAAGAAGGTTAGCTGAAGTGATGAGAGCGGTATGATGGTAGTTCACGAAGAAATCTCTGGTGCCTGACAAAGCCAAATGCCTTCGATAGATCCAACGTCAAGCTTGCCATATAGATATTCGTGATTCCAGTCGAACCGTAACCCAGTCAGGGAGGAAGGAGAGCATAGATGCAAAATTTCGGTAAATTTTATCTTCAGAGAGGTACTGTTCATTGAATTTTCGACCACGCCAACATGTCGAAAATGCTGCCAGCGCCGAGAAACGGTGAAACTTTCAACCTCTTTCTAGATTCTCGAAGGTTCAGTCCTGTTTTGAAGAACAGAGAATTTTCGCCTTATGTAGAATCAAAATCACCCTAATGATATAACTTCTCGAGGTACAGCTATTCAAAAATGTAGAAAATTTTCGAAATTTCGAAAAAAATTCAGTTCTCTGCTATCATTTGCGATTTTCCACTGTGAAGTGGTGTTTTTTTTGCAAAGTTGATCGTATTTAACTTTGAAAAGAGAAATGTCGCTTCAACTCGTGATGAAACGGAGGTTTTCATCGTGAATACCTCCTGGAATTCAGCTATTAACATTTTGGGAGCACTTCCAACTCATGAATTACATGTAATTAAAAAAGGGAATGATGTCACTGAAAAAAAATGTTGTTGGTACCTAAATACAATCACATTGGAATACATTACATTGTGAGTATGTTTTTTCATTGAAGATTATACATTTCAGAAAATATCAAATGTTATGTCTATCGATTGACATTTCGAATCCTGCACGTCATTGAAGAGCCTAGAGTTGAGATGAGTACTCCTGTGAATCACTGTTACTTTCCTCCTTCGATAACTGATACTTGTTAAAGTCGTAGTGGAGAGTGATGGAAACATCCTCTGCACCATCTATTTCGCATAACGTTTCGATTTAGGCAAAAATGTAGGCTCGTTATATAACCGGTATATTGTCACACGATGTATCACAACAAAATGAAGATATTGCTGAACATTTCAATATTGCTTTCCAGCATCCCGGCGAAGTACTGCATCCTGCCTCGAAGGTGCACCGAGATCCTTCTTCACTTCTGGACTTGGAAAAAGCAAGCTATGATGCAATTCATGTAATGATAAATCAATAGATAAAGAAAAATGATCCTAAAAAATACTGTAGAGTATATCAGTATTTATCAGTTAATGCATAAGTAGCGTACATTACCTGATGATGAGTCCAAAGAGAGTGGGGTCGTACAGCTTTTTGGTCAAAAGGAAGTCTGATACTTCGAATGGTCGACTTCTCAGATTTGACAAATAGTTTATACCTTTTAGATCATTGAGATGTTCCTCGATATTATACCTTGACAAATATGTCACTATCTTGCTCAGGTGCGGCATTAGAGTCGAGGAATATCGTGGAGCTGTGAATGTTGTGACATGTTTGGTTGACTATTTCATAATATAAGGAGATATTCATCACCTATGTGGAACTAATAGTCTCTAGGTGAATTTATTGTCGAATCGAATCCTCATCAACTTCGAATTGCTGTAACTTAAGAAGAATTATACTGAGGAAAACGGTTTCTGTTTTAAATTGTAAAAAATTCACTCTTCATCAGAAACGTATTGTGCAGAGGATGTTCGCGTGATTCCCCACTTCAACGTAAACGAGAATCAATCACATAAGAAAGGAAATAGTAGTAGTTCGGCAAAATAAATTTTCCCGAGTCTAGGCTCTTCAAAGGGGTGCTAAATTCGAAATATCAATTACTTTATGTAACATTCAATATTATTATGATTGTAAATAAAATCATCGAAGACAGTAACATACAATTCGATGTGATAATGTGGTTGTACTCTCGTACCAACAACATTAATTTCTCAGTGGAATTTTTTTTTTTTTACCAAAACTCAGTTCGATCGATTTTTGGTGTATCGCCATTCATAATCCTCAAAAAATGTTCGCCAAAATTGACATCGATACTCTGAAAATTATTCACCATCTCGTACAAGTCCAAGTCCATCATGCTGGAAGATAGCTATAGAGTCTAACCAATCCCCAGAGAGTAGAACAAGAATCTGTCTGACAACTACAGGCCTATTGCCTTGTCATCAGTTATCCCAGAGTTATGGATAAAGGCATCAAGATAAAGCTTATAAAATGTCTGGAAAGCTCAGGAATCATCAATGATAGACAATACGGCTTTCGCCATCGAAAATCAACTACAGATTTACATGCCTACGTTACCCATGTATGGCAAGCTTTATTAGAAAAACGTTGGAAATCTCTAGCTGTGGCGTTAGACATATCGAAAGCATTTGACAGTGTTCGGCACCAAGGACTACAGACTTCCATCATACGGCTCATCACCGCAGCTAGCCCATCTCTCATATTTTCTTTTTCAAGGCATATCGCTCCACGTAGTGGTGGATGGCGTATTAGTAGAGCAGTTGGAGGAATTGGGGTGGAAATAATTTCCACAAAAACGCAGTTTTCATTTTCTGAAGCCTCATTCAACCGCTTACACTATATTAAAAATATAGATGCATTATTTCATGCAAAAATGTTTTAATGCAACTTTTCATATTTCAGGTGCCCAAACCAAAATGATTGTTTCACAACTCAACACATGTTCCGCTACCTATATTAGGATCTTCAGGATAAAATTCGAACGAATTTCATAATTCTCCTAGAAATGATAATATGGTTAGCAGATCTCAAAATTCGTGTCGAGGTGTGAAAGAATCATTTTGGTATGTGATTGAAACTATTCTCTGTGATCGTGAATGAGAGATTCCATTATTTCATATACTATTCCAGGTATACCTAAATAAAGTGAATTAAAAGCAGTGATGGAAGATGACAAATGTTTATTATTTTCGTTAAGTACTGATGATAGTTCGAATTGTGTTAGATTGACTGTTAAAGGTGTCCAAGGAATTATAAGTGCCTATTCATCCTCTAATTGTTCACGTCGAATGTCGTCGTTTGTACGTGAATCCGAATAAGATGAAGAATGATCTCAGGTTCAAATCAGATCCTGATAAAGAAGCATCAACTATAGTAGCAGCAGCAGCAACAGAGCTTTGTGATCTGAGCTGCCGACATTCGCATTCAAAGATAATTGCTTGTTTTGTGGACAATTGATCAAGGAAACTGAGAAAATAATTAAATCTGCAATTTTACCAGTACGAACTTTCGCGTTTAGATAAACTATTATTGATGTGTGTGACGCAAGAAACGATTTTTGATCATCAAATGTCCTTGCACGTCTTCTTTCCGTTACCGATACTTGCCAGCAGCAGATGCTCTGTAATCAGAAATGTAGTGTAAATTTTGGAAAAGGCGACTCTATACCTAAGAAACATGATATTCTCAATGAATGGACAAAGTTAGCAGGACTTCAGATAAAAATAAAGAAGATGCCTTTTTAGAAATATGCAGGTGGCTCAAGAAAAATGATGAACCAATTTCAGTTCAGGAGTTGCTGGACAAAATGGCAGAGCTGCTGCCAGAAAATATCGAACCTTACACTGTTCGTCGTATGCATAAAAAAATAGAAGAATATTTCTCGGATGACATCATAATATTGGGTCAAAAAGGTAATATGATGATGAAAATTTTCGGATAGTTGAAGCAACAGCTAAACTGATTAGGATTAAAACATCCTTAGAGTTTTATCTTCACCAGAAGAAATAAGTTCCGAGCAGAAAAATAATAGGCTTCTACCCGACATTTTGCAAACATTCTTGGATATAATAATCAACAAAAATCTTCAAGTTTGAAGAAAAACTCAATTGAACAGGCACTAATGCAAGCTGCAAGGCCACGATTTATCATAAGATCAATTCGTCTAGGTGTTGGTGTGCAGTATCATCGAGATTTTCGATCTCGGTTACTTGTCGATGAACTTCATGAGCTTGGGTTTTCTGTATCATATGATGACATACGGAAGTACTTGCAAAACTGAAGTAGATAAACCTTGTGGAACCAGATGTGGATGTCGACGATTCGGAATTTTTTGCACAGTATTGTGCAATAATTGTTCGGGAAGGTACCAATATTCCAATCGAGGAAGTTGAAGATAATGAATGATCTTTCACATGCCAAATATGCCATTTTTTTTAAGTTCATGATTCATACGTATTAACGAATATACGAATATTGGAAACACTCAAGGTTGGTAGAACTGATTATAATTTGTATAGGAACAAGAAGTGACTGAACAAATTATCATTTCTACATTTTTGAGTTCAAAATGGTTCAAATATTCGAAAATACTGACAACTGTCACTTCAATACATGCGCCGGCGTACATATCATACACGAAGTGTACGAAAGTGCTTCACTTTTCGTATAAAAGAAAGGGCCTATTACGTCATGAGTTACTCGCGGGATGCGATCGAGGCAACAGAGATGTATAGAAATTTAACTGGTGGGCTCACTCTTTCATTGTTTCGTCAGACTAACTCTCGATATGGAACAATTGCTAGCGAGTTTTGGACGTGGTGTTCAGGTATTTGCGATAGAGGCGCCATGATCGGAAAATCGTTCAAAACCTTGGTTATGTGAGGGATGAATCTATTATTTCCATCATTGTTGTGTGGTCGAATAAATACTGTGCTCAACATAATCACCCAAATTTCAATTTAAAATAGAAGCAAGAAATCTTTTTTGTTGCCGATTTCAATAAGCTTCACTTCTTTCATGACATGAACCTATTTAAAGCATGAAATCTGATGAATTTCCTCTTTGGAGAACCAGAACAAAGAATGATTCATAATGGGCAGATATGGTAACAGGTACTCACCTTAGAATTTATTCACACCAGTTCACGCTAATATTTCAAATCACTGAAATAATACTGTTGTAGATAGAACAGAGATTTTCTTTTTTCTATGGTGGATTAGGTTTTATACACAAAATTTAGAAACTACGGAACACTTCCCTAACGAACACTTGACCCTAATCTCAGAAATAACCATTTTTTCAGCTCAAGAATATTTTTACGTTTCGATTCTTTGATCAGGAATCAGTTCACTGCTCTGATCCAAATCATATACGTATCCAAATATCTATCGGTCGGTAATATTTTTCCTGTAAATATGGATTGTAACCAGGATGAGCTTAGCGAGATTTACCCACGTCAAGTATGTTTATCAAAGGTTTATCAGAGTAGGCGCCATCGAGAAACTTGCAAACGACCTTCAATAAGGAGCAAGCGCACCAGTTAAATTTCTATACATCTCTGAGGCAACCTTCCTCTACAAAATAATCATCAGTTCTACCAACCTTGGAAACACTGTATTTTTATTTTGCACAAAGGTATCATTCTATATTCTCATATATGTGTTATTCTATGCATTCTGAACTGAGGAATGCAAAAAAAAAGTTTGTGGGAATTATTTCCACCTGGGACCATTTTTCATCGTATATCTACTCCACTATATCGTCTTAAACAATTGTCATCAATGCCAGTGTTCCACAAGGATCAATGTTGGCACCAATATTGTTCCTACTTCACATCAATGATCTGTTGGGCGTAACAACTCGCCCTATCCACAGCTTTGCAGATGATTGTACTCTCGATATTGCGTTCTCTCCCAGAATTCATATTTCTTTTCCAGGAAATTGAGGTTTCACGGCAGAGTCAGGTTAATGCTGTCAATGAATATCTTGCCAAAATCACAACCTGAGAAACCAAGTGACTGTAAGTCATATAGAAAAAAAATTTATCCTGTTCTAATTTACAGTTGGAACTGTAAATCAGACAAATGTTCGTGAAAAAAAAGTGTTCTCAAGATGGCAGTTCAGACGCGTTGAACATTTTTGACAGTAGAGAATAATTTTTCGTATTTCAGAAAATCAGATACCCTGATGGAAAATACACCGTAAACAGAGGCCTGGATGATATTACAAAATTAGGACAAATAATCAGATGGAATGATGAATCAGAATTATCATTCTGGGGTAGAATTCAATCCACGAACAATGATACGTGTAATAAAGTGAGAGGGAGCGATTCAACTATATATCCTCCTCATGTAACGAAAACGAGAACATTCGATATTTATTCCACAGATATTTGCAGGTGAGTTAATGATATTATCAGTGGTAATACTATAAGTACTTCAAGCTATTCGGATTATACATTGATAACTTGTTGAATAATTATTAATAGTGTGTTAGTTCGACAGTTGAGATAACCCGACCGCGGAATAGGAGGATAATTTTGATGAGCTGACATGATTTGTATCTATGCAGGAAGTTTGGCATGTATAACTTTCAATAGTTTGAAGTTCGAATTGTATTCAATGCGATTATTTTTTGAAAAGTTCTCAGCGAACGTCAACATTTCACGACGCGCTTTGTTTGTATGTATCAATATGAATCTACAGAAATAATTTTAAATTTCTGATTGGTGGAGCTACTTTATGTATATCCACGTATATTTGAATTTATATAAAGGTAGCTCACCCCAATTGAACGTTCTGATTGGTTTGAAATCATACGATGAAAATAATCAACGAACTACGTCATTGAATAAGTTACATATACGTATATATCCAATTACCGGACACATCAACATCGATAATTAGTCTGAAAGAGATGGAGAAATCGGCTCCCACACGTCAATTTTCATCATCTTTTCGAAACTAGAGAAAGTGCATGATTTGTGATTTGCTAGTTTTGAGGTCATTATATCCTTATGATATCTATTAATTTCACGACGGCGCATTTGCGCAGTTATGAACTCGTTTTCATCAGAATCCCAACATTTCAAGATTGTTTCTCAAAATTCTGAGATTTTCTCCTAAATTTCATTTAATGATGTTTCAAGGTGGAGAACATTAGAAGTAGGTATTTGAAGAACCGATCGACAGATCATTTCGAGAACTTGTGGGCGTGAATAATCAAGCATGCTTTATCCGTCTGAAATAATTTCATTGATACAGTGTTGCCGCTTATATCAGAAAGTAGTAACTTCTCTGGTATTTCAAAAAGAACACCCAGTATATTATGTCATTCTTAGAATCCTTATAGCATTCATCATAACTTCGCCTGATATGTAACAGTTTTCGTAATGAGAATTATTCTGTGAAATTTTTGTGCGAACACTAACCCTTCAAAAGTTATAATTTTTCAAAATGCAATTTTACAAAAAATTGTATTTTGGGTCATAGCAGCATAATCTACCTATGAACTGGGTCTCAGTTTCAGCAGGAAGGCTCACTTTTTCTAAATGAAACACCATGTACCTATATAATTACTCATTTGGAAAGTTGGGTCATTTGACCATTTGATTTTTTATAAATTTCTTATACCAATCTCGTACAGTTTGTTGGTTATGATCATTCAGGTTATATTCGTCTTCAATATAGTTATTGTTGTATCTATTGCGTGAAAATGCTACTTTGGTGATCCAGAACTGATTTTTCAGAACGAATTGCAACCGAAGTTTGCAAAAAATAGTATTAGATTTTAGCTCGAGGTTGTGTTGCCTCCCGACGCGTATAGGAAGGGAGACAAAAAACCGTGAACTCAAATATAATATTTTTTCCCTGTTCAATACACTTTTTTTTCTGTGTCAAAAATATTTGAGAGATATCGGATTATATTAAAATCAGAAAATTATCGACTTGAAATTTCAACAGGAAAGGCACCTGCGTTGCGTGCATTTTTTTTCAGGCATCTTTATCATTCTTTCGAACTAATCAAATATCTGTCAGTCTAATTCTGTGAATTGATTTTGAAAAATTGCGAATTCAGTGGTTGTTTAGTGATTTACGTAACCGCGAAGTCGAATGAAAGATAAAAGGTCTTGCAGTTCTTTCTTGGAGACGTTGTTATTGGCTTATTTTTCAGAACTATAGCACAACAACGCGGTGTATATGTCATATGAATCCAGGAAAAAAGTTTTCACTCCCTCCTTTGAAAAAAAGTAATTCATAAAAAGTGACATTTTATAACCTGGCAACAGAGATGAAATTTCAAAATTTGTCCCGTCACAGAGAAAAAGTTATTTACTCAGATTCATCAGCTGCAATATGGCCTTTGTTGGGAATAATTATCAAGAATTCGTTCTTTAACCCTTTCAGCTCCACTTTTTCCTTATACATAAACTGATTTGGAATCGTGATATCTGACTTATTTTGTATATAGTTAGGTTACTCCTACAGGTTTGCATCATTTGAATTTTTTTTTGCTATTGACGGATGAGACAAATATGCCCCATTGGTATTGTTGAATGTATCATATATGTCCCACTGGTAACCTATGGAATAAAAGTTCTAATCTTGTCGAATTTTTATTCAATAAAATTCTGCAGTACTATGTATGATATGGCGTGAAACAGTTTCGGCAAAGTAGTTACTTGACACATTCTGCACAGACGATTGATCATCACCGCTGGCGATTTCATTATCTTGTTGACTATGTGAATCAGAAGATGATGTCTTTGTCTCGTACTCTTCGTCGCGGTTGTCTTCGGTTTCAAAGGGATCCAACTCATATTCAGTACCAAACTATCATGAATGCATATGAGTCAACACCTACTTGCACAAAAACTCTATTAAAATGGAGAAAAAATAAATGGAAAAATGACTCCGCAAGGCGACGCCGTGTTGCCAATTCTGTTCAATTCCGATGAAATTGCACGAAAAATACCACTTAAGCAAAAATACGTTGAAACAAATACATTCATACCAGTGAATATTTTTAAATTTCGCGTGGGTCATATATACCCCGATGGGGCTGAGAGGGTTGAGTCGTATTTTCCATGTTTCCTCCATCGTTTCTCCACTTTTATCATATAAAATGATACACAGAGTGACCCATTTGAAAGTGTGCCACTCAACTGCAAATTTTGAAACGTTCAATTATTTAATCTTGTCGAATTTTTATTCAATAAAATTCTGCAGTACTATGTATGATATGGCGTGAAACAGTTTCGGCAAAGTATTTACTTGACACATTCTGCACAGACGATTGATCATCACCGCTGGCGATTTCATTATCTTGTTGACTATGTGAATCAGAAGATGATGTCTTTGTCTCGTACTCTTCGTCGCGGTTGTCTTCGGTTTCAAAGGGATCCAACTCATATTCAGTACCAAACTATCATGAATGCATATGAGTCAACACCTACTTGCACAAAAACTCTATTAAAATGGAGAAAAAATAAATGGAAAAATGACTCCGCAAGGCGACGCCGTGTTGCCAATTCTGTTCAATTCCGATGAAATTGCACGAAAAATACCACTTAAGCAAAAATACGTTGAAACAAATACATTCATACCAGTGAATATTTTTAAATTTCGCGTGGGTCATATATACCCCGATGGGGCTGAGAGGGTTAAGTCGTATTTTCCATGTTTCCTCCATCGTTTCTCCAACTACAAAGTATGCTTTCACTATTATCATATAAAATGATACACAGAGTGACCCATTTGAAAGTGTGCCACTCAACTGCAAATTTTGAAACGTTCAATTGCTCCGTTAGGTAGGAAGTCGTGATTAGAAAAAAAATAGAGAAACACTATTCCATGTTCTACTCAAAATACGAACAAATGATAGATCTACGTTGCAAACAATCCAGTAGTCGGTTTTATCATCGTTCAATTTTTCAAGAAATTATATTAGGATTTTCCTCACAGAAAAACTGACCTTATAATATTGGTTTATGGTTTCAAACTCCCAGGTGTTTTTTTTTATGATTCCTATGGAGAGTCAAGAATAACAGCAGTTTTTACTCAGATATAGTGATAATCTAGGTGAACGGTATCAAAATACACCATCTGCTTGCAAAAATGCAGTAGTCGGTTTCATCAACGTTCCCTATGTTTTTCGGGTGCCTGGATCCGAATGTGGGATTATCTAACAAAATTTGCTGGTGCGTATCGAAATATTTGCAAAACACAGTAAAATCTTTGATTTTTTTTTTGTTTTTTGCTCATGATTCCAAGATATTTGTGTCGTAGCGAGGAAACAAATCACACGTTATTTATAGATATCTAATTTTTTACAATTTCAACCGCAGCATCGTGAGTCCAGTAGTTCCAGAGATACAGCACTTCAAATATGGGCCAATTTTTTCAAAATATGGGAATTTGAGTTCTGAGGCAACTTTTGAGCTGAATATTGTAGAAAATACTGATTCTACGGGAACTAATTGACATCAGGCATCCTCAGTTCCGCCTCTCTAGAGAAAATGCAGGCTTGAGTTTTGTAGGCATTCAATTCAACTATTATGTTCTCCAGGCTTTGAGTGTAGCAAGATCTTCATTGACAGGGTCGACCTGCCTTTCGTCGTGAGTTCTCAGTTTCCTGGAAAGGCATGGAGATTCTTGAAGAGAACGCAGTATGGAGAATACTATCATCTGCAAAGTTATGGATAGGGCGAGTGATTACCCCCAACAGACTGTTGATATGGGATAGAAACAATGTTGTTGCCAAAATTGATCCTTGTAGAACACCGAAATAAAATGAACGAAACTCAAATCTATTTCCTCAAATGTTGTGAGCCTGAACAACAATGTTAGATGTCTGGAAATAACTACTTTCCTGGCTAATGCCACGTTGAACAGAAAATCAAGTCCACCCGAAATCATTGCATGGATTCGTATACTTGAACGAATACTGATAGGGTAGGCACTAGCCAGCAGTCCCCAGACCGCCAATTCAGCGAAACCTGACCCAACAAAAATTCGATCGACATATTTGTACGCTCAGAGACACTTCCCTAATGCATCGTAGGAGTATAGATACATCATTTCACTTCGAGCAGTTTGACTATTTCGTAGTTGAAATCACGTCAAAGTCAGACAATCAGATATTTCTATTTCTCACCGAGATGGAAATTTCCAGTTCCTGAGTATTCTATTTCTTCTGAATAATTTATGTGTCGCTATGCTACAGGGAAGCATCTCTGAGCACAGATATGCCGATTGGATTTTTGTTGAATCAGGTTTCGCTCAATTGGCGGTATCAGGACTGCTGCCTGGTGACATCCGCAACCGGTCCGTAGAGTCAAGCATCAACCTGGATACAGTCTAAAAACAATTGACATTGAGAAGGGGAACACTTGAATCAGTATTCGTTTATAAGGATCGATGCATAGATTACGGGAGAATTCAATTGAATGTTCTGCGTGCCATCAGGAAAATACTTGATTTTTCTTTCGTCATCTACCAATGTCGAACATTTCTAGAACATCTGTGGAAATCTTCTCGAATTTTGCTGCTTCTCATCATGAATCTGTTTCGATTATATCTAAGATGAAGTAGAAATTGATCATCAGGACAAAGGAAATTTCTGTCTTGGTCCATTCCCAGTATAGTGGTCCCTCGCTTCCTCCCTTGTATGGTTTTCATCAACGTAGGCGTTTGATTTGTTCTTTTCTGTTACAGGATAGTCCAGATTTCATTTCAAACGACAGATACGTACAGTGGAATAGATGCCTATCGTTTCGGTATAACAAAAGATACTTTTCGATCAGCGACTCCGAACCCAGAGAATGATTGTTATTGTATTCAACAATCTACTGATGTTGATGGAGAACCATCATGTTTCTTGGATGGTGTACTGGATGTTTTTCCATGTTTCGGTGAGAAATTGAACAGAAATGAAATACAAATAAACTGCTACCCAGTTCAAAATTTTCCACTTCTTGGCATATCAGGGCTATGCGGTTAAAATAAACAATGTCAAACAAAATAGCTCCTGAAAGATGAATCCATTTGGTCACTCAGACACTCAGATTCAGATAAGAATTGATAGTGTCGAAAAATTAAATGAAATAGACATATGCTAGGCGAAATAACATTAATAACTTGATCAAGAGGCAGGAGTAATAATTGGCGCCTTATAAGTTACCAGAAGATTGACATTTCGAAACAGTGCGTCTGGCGGCCGAGAGTACGCGATCACTCTAACTAACTAACGCTACCATTTTAGAAAAAGTGCATAAGCGTCTGCCGGTGGATGCGATCAAATTTTCAAACCGGTTCGACGAATTGAAGAAAGAATGCAGTCCATATGTTGCCTCTTGGAATTTTATGCAGAAAACAGTGTATATTCTGGATAGAGGCTGACGATCAACAAAATATATACAGTGTGAGTCAGAATATAACCGACAAACTTTGTTATCAGATTCCTCACTCTACATTGAACTGGAAAGTTTTCCTCAACGTTTGTCTTGAATAACCCTAATAGCACAATTATGTTCCATGGACAATGAATATCCTTGGGACGTCCCATCAAGACATTTAGGGCGGTTATGTGACGTTCGAATTTGGTACTGCGAACGTTCATTGGACGTCTGTGGGACGCACAAAATATTCCACTTGAGGACCAACTAGGATACGTCCTCGATTCCTCATCAAGCACTACGGAGGACATCCGTAGGACAATCTTTCAACAACGCTGAGTGATATTGATCGTTTGTCCATAGGAAGTTCCAGGAAAGTACGAATTTTTCTTGAAGTTGACTTCATTCGGGTGTCTCTAGAACCAGATCTTGCATACCTGATGATGACGTCCAGTTGAGTTTATGGTCCATGGAAGGTCCTCAATAGTTCCTGGAGAAGGTTCTCAAGAGGTTCCTTCGAAGAGGTTTGTCAAGGATGTTCAATGGACTTACGTAAATTACATTAACGGGGAGTATTTATAACCTACGAGTAGTCGATCGTCGGCGAGGTGTGAACTTACATCCTCGCAGGAACGACATATTGAACGTACCGACTGGGACGTCCATGTGAAGTTATTTCTAGAACATTGGAAGAAAGAAATGATCATTCGCTTGCGTGAAGGACGTTTATATAGGATGTCTATCCGAAGTCATGGTGCCAATGTATACCACCGATGGATGTCCCTTAGGATACATCCCGAATTGTATTCAGGACATTCTGAGGGCATGCTTGGAACGTCCATAAGAAGTTGTACTCATGACATCTCATGAATTTATATTTCCTGGAGAATATCCCTGTACTTATTACTTATGTGAACATATAGATTATCTATAGGAGTTCCTTCCGAAGTAATAACAGGTAATGTACTAATTGGGACATCCGACGGGACATTCATAATGTTTTACGGTCCTGTGAATATTGAGGGCGTATTTGGAGAAATGAAGCTACCGTCTGGGACATTTGATGGTTGTTTCAGAAGGGACATTATATAAGATCTGAAGTCATACCACCATAATGTCCTGCGAGCTCTGAATCATGATATTCAGCCAGTATAAGTCTTTTTCTAGTCTTGGGGACTACAAGCTGGGCATCTTCTTCATCCAAATCTAGGACATATCTGTACAAAATTTCGTTGTTCATTGCATATCCTCGTTCTAGTCATCTTTTGATATGTGACTCATGCGCATCCTGATTCTCGAAAGTTTCGATAATTTTGCGTAGATCTTCATCAGCTAACTGATCCTGTCTAAGACTGAGATGAATATCTGGGTAAATCCACTGTAACAAGTTGGATTTCGTTCTCACCAATTGGTGGACGAGAAAGCATGTCTGCGACCACATTGAGTCGTCAGGAGTATAATCGATTCTGATATCATACCAATGTAGCAAAATATAACATCGGGATAGATAGACGGCCAAAGGGCCACCTCAAAGACATGAGCCACCTCAACGGTTGATGATCGCTTTGCAAATAGACAGTGGCGTCTTCAACGTTCATTTCCCTGAAGTAAGCATGCTCCGAATGCATAGGAACTAACGTCTGTTGGACGTGTATAAGGCTTGGACGGATCGGCCTGTCAAAGAATTGGACTAGTAGTCAAGGGTCAAGAAATATTTTGTCTGGCTAGAGCCCCAACTCTATTTAGCGTTCTTCTAAGTAAGAATCGTCAGCGGTTTGGTAATGTCTGCAAAATTTTGGATGAACCGTCGGTACCATGAATAGGTTCGAAGAAACGAAAGGAGCTCTTCAACATTGTTGGGCTCAGATATATTTGAAATGGCAGATACCCTTTCACTATTTGACATTACACCTTCAGTACTGATGACTTGGTCTAGGTATGAAGTACGACTACAGGCGAAAGTGCATTCGGAACTATTTGACATTATACCTTCAGTACTGATGACTTGGTCTAGGTATGAAGTACGCAAATATTCGGAGACTGCTTGAAGTTCTTGAATATGCTCAAGAAAGAAGAGGAGAAGATGATGATGAGGTCATCAAGATAAGCCCGGATGTGAATGGTCCATTACGCAATCCAAATGACAAACGGATATAAGGAAACGTACTAAAGGGGCAAATTGAAGCGGTCTTGTCTTTGTCTGAGGGCTTGGTAGAAACTAGGTGATAATCAGATTTCAGGTACAAAGTTGTAATATACTTGGGCTGCTTGAGAGCTCCTAAAACATCGACTATTCGCTGAAGAGGGTACTTGTCAGCACGAGTGATGGCGTTGAGTTTTCTATAATCGACTGTTCAACTGATATGACCATCCTTTTTTGGAACAAATGAGTACGACAGGTGCTGCTTAGGGAGAACACCCTGTGATAACAAAGTATCAATCTGTTCTCTAAGGGGATCTCTTTTAGCTCTTGATGAACGGTAAGGAGGCACAGAGATGGGCGTGTCATTCGTTGAACATATGATATGGTCAGCAAATGTAGTTGGCTCGGTGCTATATCCAAAAATCTCCATATTCTTCTCCAAGAGATCATTGGGCTGGTCAGCGAATCGGTAGAGCCTCTCAGGGGCATCCCCATAAAATCATAAATCACGTGGTACATCGAGAACAATATTCGCTGTTCTGAGAAAGTCTGCACCCAAGAGAGTCCTACTGCTTGTGTGATCCGGAACAATTATAAGACTCACAACATGTTGCCTCTCTTCAAGGATGAGCTTTACTATATTGTTACCATCAGCCAGTCACCTCCATGACTTTGGGAGTGAAAGGTACATTTTCTCGGAGTGAAATGTCTCTAAGTTTTGGTCCAGCGATACTAGACTGTGCATCGGAATCGAGGTAAGTCTAACCATGGTGACCGTCAATATTGATCATCGCTTATAGGGGTTTTCTGCTAGATATAGGAAAAAGGGAGTCACACATGAACTCAGGTGGAGTTGAAGTAGAGAGGCGCGACATTCCTGGATACTTGCATTCTGGATAATTATTTCTGACGTAGCTAGGCGTTCTGCATCCGTAACATACCTAAGGTTTGTGTTCATTGAAAGAAACATAACCTAGAACACTAGGCGAAGGTTCATCGAAAGAAACATAACCTGGAACATTAGGCAAAGGATTTGCTTTGATTTGTGACGACTTATCAGTGCTCATCCGCGAAGCGAGTGTTCGACACTCATCTTTCATATGTCCTCAATTTTCACAGGAAGTACACTGGTATTTTGTTCTCTGGCTCAAGGAATCATTATTGGAATGAAAAAAAAACTTGAGAGTTCGATTTTTGCGAAACATCTTCCTCATAGAATAATTGTTCGGCCGTGCGAGTAGCTTCAATAAGTTCTTCGAAAGTATTCACTTCATCCCGTGATCCTCAATCTTTGATGTGCGGATTCAGAAGTACATCATATTTACTGAACATGTTCAGTTATCTGTGAATCTCCGGTTAAACGTGACAGCATCGCGCATTTCCGACCTTGATCACTGAAAAAGAGTTCCTTATGAATCGGATGAGGTGGTTTTGCAAAACCATATGCGTGACGTAACGATTCGATGTCTTCTCCAAAAGTAGTTATGGACGATTTGATTCCTTGTCACCAAGTAGCCTGCTCAAACCTTTGAATGCATGTTCATTCAAAATATTGAGACAGTCCTTTCAGGTTGTAATAGAGTCAATGAACGCTTGAACATTTGCATTTGTACTTCCATCAAAACGAGCTTTGCATGCAGAAAAATTGGCCAAAGGTGTACTCACAGTTGGAGTTCGGACAGGTTGAGTTTGTGAATTTTCAATACTCTATATGAGGCTTTGATGCAATTCGGGAGTCATGATGATTTGTTGAACAGGTACTTCATTATCATCAGGCATTGAAACAGTCAGATTCCACAATAATTTTCCTGATCTCAAGTCTGGAACAGAACTGAAAGGGACAGCGTCTATTACATTTGAAGCACTCTATTTTCCAGAAAACACTGATAATGGCACACGTTGGAGCGCCAATTTGTTGCGAGCTGGTGATGCAACGGGTTCTGAGGAATGGTTCCACTAGGATTCCAATTAATATCGCAAACGAATGGTTACTTCGGTGCGGAAAGGAAAGAATGGGCTGCAAACTCTTTCACGGAAGACATATATTGACAATAACTATATTAACTATATTATATTGAGATTATATTAATTCTACTGTCACTCTCTGCGCAGTCAAATGATTATCATCAGTTCAGTTCCGGATACAGAGCGTTCTGTCCACTGCACCACTCGAAGTGGTGTCACGAATTATCAGAACCTGCCTTTGGTTATTTGGTTATTTAATCTCAAAGCTCAGTGGAGATGAGTATGGATTCTTCAGAAATGATACAATTATTTCGGTAGAGATATACACTGTGTCCATAAAGTCACCCCCCCCCCCCTGGTTAACTATTGAACGGATGGGATTTTTTTTTTCAATTTTTTTTTGCTCCAA